TACACCCCAGTATTACAAAACTTCTAGTCAATCTGCTGATTTTGCTTCATATCAGCTTTTAAAATATATGCATTCTCAGCCTTGTTTCCCATGCTATTTAGTTTTCAATAGTGAATTATGATTCTCATAAGGCATCCTGTGCATAGGGAAGAGAAAGCCCCAAGGCAAATCCTGTAGCTCTCCAGACTCTAAAGGCAGCGCAATGACAAACTGTGTAAATGCATGGCAATTGTCTAAACATTGCTATGTGTTAGGGATTCTAGAAACTCGGGAAATGTCCTCCAGTGGCAGTTCAGCTCATGTTCTTCTTTTGAATAAAACTGAGGCAATTCCGGTCAATTTTATTAAGTTTTCCACTCAGAAGAAATGGTGTGGTGAAATCATCACTTTGTGTTTCAGATTTTGCTACCATACAAACATGTTTACGTACTACAAATGTGCTCATTTCTAGTAAATACAAAACAATGGCAGCAGCTGTTGTTATCTATGCCACATCCATTATTTAGATATATGAAATCAGAGCAGAAATATCTCTGAGATAGTGTATGGACCTACACAACGGATTTTAAATAGCAGATTAGCCAGTGTGCTAGAGTTCATATTTAAATGAAAAACACTTTGAATGCCTTAGAAAACTAGCCTCCTGTGGAATTCTGGGAGTGGAATGTAGATGGACACCATTGGACTGTAACGGCTTACATTGATGGTTTTTCATTTACATTACAGAGCTTTCCTCATTCTCTCCCAGTACTGGGGTCAAGCTCTCCCAATTATTTGTCGGCAAATTATTTCTCTCTCATAGGTTTTCATTTACATTGCACAAGATCAGTGTCTCTGTGGGTCATTCCTCTTTTTCACTTCTACTGAATCTCCCCCTCCTTTTTTTTCATTTCTTCCTTCTCTCGGGTCTCAGAAAGAGGAAATCAACATACCATTGTGAATAAAAAGTAATTACATTTGATTTTGCCAGTCTGACTCTTCTGGCTGTATTTATATGACTGGTTTAAAGGGCAGATTCTTGCTCTTTCTTGCTAGCACACTTTTCAAGATGAGAAGAGCTCCGTTTCGATGGAGCCATGTCTTCATCAGGGGTGATTGTTTCTAAGGCAAGTGACAAGAAGTTTTGTCTCATGCCACAGCTCCTGCAAGACCAACTTTGCTATAAATAAACATGAAGATCCACGAAGAAGATTCCAGAGGGTGGATTTTCACCCTTAACTCCTGAGTTCTTTTAGAAATTCACATAACAGAGAATCATGTAAAAAAAACCTCTGCCACCTTTAAATTTGATAAACCTTATGGACGGGCGCATTCCTCCATGACAAATATTTTATTGCCACATGGAAACAGGCATGTGGTCCTTAATTTTGGCAGAAAATTATGTAACAAATCTGAAGGAGCTGTGTATGTCACCAGACGCTTTGTTTCCCTGTAACTGAGCAACCTTTATTTTTCTGGGACAATTTGATCCCTTGTGCTGAAGTATTCAAAGTCAAAATTTTGGTAATTATGCTGAATCCAGTGTGAATAAGTGGCTCATAATCAGTCCTTGGTACTTAGGAGGCAACAGGATTAAGAACAGATGGAACATATTACAAAAGAATTCAAAACTAGATGGAACTTATTAGAAGTGGATTAAAAAACAAAGATCCTATTAAAATGTTTATGCATTCTTTGGGGGGGGGTTTGGAGGGGACAGGATCATTAAGGTAAAATATTATGGCAAAGAGATGTGGTTAAAAGAGTAATTTAGCATCAGCCAATTTGATCTTGCCTAAAGTTTATTCTGCTGAATAGGCCATTCTCTAAACATGTCTCAACAGCTGATGTTGAGGCCTCGGTAATTGTTACTTTTAAGAGCACATTAAAAATGCCATGAAACTGCTCGTCGTAACGATTTCTACACCGGTACCCTGCAAATACACAGCTGGAGGTTGTCAGGCACACACCTCCTTAATAAAGGGTACTGTGTGTATACAATTAACACATTAATTTATGGAGTAAAATGATCGGGGGAGACTAAAGACTTCAAAGTCAAGCACTTGCTATTAAGCAGAGGTTCAGTTTCCATGCCTGATGGTTACCAGTCCCACCCACGGATCCTGAATCCATGAAAAAAAACAAAATGTTAACAAACGATATGGGTTTTGTGGTGGCTGATATTCTCTTTGTGTCACTGTCCTCCATGCATGCAGGGTATTTGTTTATTAGATGAGGAAGAGGGAATAGTTTCTCTATATTGGCTGTGTTATTTCTCAGCCATGTTCCCCTTCAGTCAGCAGTGGTGAGACTGTCATGTTAATTAGCCTCGAAAACAGTAAGCTTACTGTGCTCCATGTTTTCATTTTTCCTCCTTTCCTGTTGCTTCCTTCATTTTTTTATACTACAGTAATTTGTGCTTTTCTTTCTTCTTTCCTAGGTGGATGCTGGGACAAATCATTACATTTCTTGATCTTTTCACAACCATTGCTTTCATCTGCACTCTGTTGTTTTACCTTTTAACTTGATGTGTTTTTGTCTTTCCCCCCACTTTTCTTTATACAATCGGCAAGAAAATAAATCACAAACATATGGTTCATAAGAAAAAATCAAAAATTGGGTATTGATCCTTTCGATTTTGGCCCCCCCCCCCCCCATTTAGTACTTGTTGCTCAAAAAATAATATTCGCAAGATTTCCACAGTTTAAATAGATAATTACTTTTTTGGAGGAAAAAAGTTAGATTAATGAAAATACATTTTTTTCTTGACAACAAATTTTTGTGGATTTTGTGCAAACAGCATTTTGCTCCCAAAGTCCCAAAACATTTTTAAAATGAAAGAACTACTCTCATGAGGGCAGAAGTGAGACATTCAAAGTTTTCATTCTCATCCTTTAGACATCACTCAGCCCCTTCTTAATGAATTGAATTCAAATTAAGATGCATGTCCCCTGTAGTGGAACTAATTTTTCCTTCCACAATCAGATTTCATAAATCATAATTTCAAAATAAAATAGTGTTTAGTTTCTACAATCAATCAGAAAACAAAGCATTCTAAACATAAAATACATTGATGAGGACAAATGTGTGCTATAATGAGCAGATGCCTCTATCTACCCAAGAAAGCCTCTATTTATTGAATGTACTTAGTAACCAAGTTTATGGGCTTTTTTGAATAGCTGTACCTATTTAATCTGTATGGTGAAGATGAAAAGGAAGTTCATTTGCTTCATATTGTAATAAATAGGAGGTTTATTTATTTACCATATTTATACCCAGACTTTCTCAACCCCGTAGGGGACTCAAGGCGGTTTACATATATAGGCAGTAGGCTTGGTTGATTTTTAAAAAATGGTTCAAAACTCACTTCAGCTGGTGGTTCAATTCTAAAATCACTTCTGAATTTTTCTGAAAAAAGCCAGAACTTTCCAAAACTTCTGAAACTTTCAAATTGCTTTGTTAATGGCAGGCGTGATTTCACAATACACAGAAAACCTCACTGGCACTGAGGAAACTCCAGGGCCTTCTCCCTCCCTCTTTTTTACACCAATCTTGATGAAACTTGATATACTGCTACAACACATCCTCCTGTGTTAGCATACCAAATTTCAACATGTTAGGACATGTGAGCAAAAAACAAGTTTCCAGAAATAACTTTATTAATTTGACCCTCTCCCTCCCTCCCAAACACACTTTTCCTTCTTCTTTGGAACAGGACTGTTAGGACATGTTCAAAATATAGACCCAAGAAAAAAGGGAGAAACCCCAATAAAAATAGCAAAGCTTTAGTGGTGAGCAAAAAAGAAGTTTCCAGAAATGACTTTATTAATTTCACCCTCTCCCCACCTCCCAAACAAACTTTTCCTTCTTTCTCTCTCTTCTCTGGCTCCAAACCCTTCCTCTCTCAAAATCTTCCCTTCTCCCTTGCCTTCCTCTGTTATCCAAAACTCCTTTCCTCTGGCTCCAAACCCTTTTTTCCACCCCACACTCAACAGCAACAAGCAGCAGCAGCAAGAACAGTCCAACCTCCCCTCTCCCTTCCCTGGCTGCCATTGAGCCTTTCAGCCATGTGCTTGGGTTTATACAGCAATGGCTGCTGGACGCTGCAAACCTCTCCCCTCCCCAAAACTTCTCCTGATTGACAGGGAGGTAAGCATCTTAGACTTTGCCTCCCAGCAGGCTTAGTTGCATTAAAAACGCTTCATGATAGTTCCAACCAGGCATGTAGCCAGGGAGGGGGGGTTTGGGGGGCTTCCCCCCCCCCCCCCCGAAATTCTCATGGTGGTCTGTGAAAAGGCCTTACTGGTACATTATTTAAACTGTTATGTTTATTCATATCATGATCTGATCACCATGCTCAATATATCTCATATGCATGGGGGTACTGGGGTAATGATACAAAAGGTTTGCTAGGGTAGACCCTCTTTCACTCAGACTCAGCCCCCCCCCCCCCCCCCCCGAATCAAAATCCTGGCTACGGGCCTGGTTCCAACTCATTTCCGCATCCCTGAAATCAATCACACAAGTTAAGTCAAAACTATAGGGGACTACAGCCTCATGGAAACGTGGCGGAAGTCCTTTTGGAAGGCAAAAACATCCAATTTTTTTCCAAATTATGCCACATCCAAGCGAACCTATCCAACCCTAATAGGCAGAAATACGATGCCCAAAACACACATAATAAGAATATATACAATAATAATAATAATAATAATAATAATAATAATAATAATTCTCTCCCTGAAGTGACTCAGGATGGTTTACACACACAAAAAGCCAAGCATTCAATGCCTCAGGTGAGTACAAACATATCAAAATAATACACAAAAAAGCAAATGTAATAATAACAGTAATTAAAAAACATTAAACATATAAAACCTTAAAACACTTATTTAAAATCGGGTTTGTCTTCATAAACAAGAAAGAAACAGCCTAAAGACTGCTTGTATTATTATATTTTGTTTTTAAAAAATGAATTTAGGAGAAAATAAATGTAATAATTTATCTATCTGTTGTCACAGCTATTGAGTTTGGAGACAGAACTGCACTCCAGAGAAACGAGTTCAGACAAGAGATGTGTGAAAACTGCATTGTGGCCAGCGAAACAAACAAGAGTTTTGTGACTCATTTTCAAGAAAAGGCTGTGGGATTGGTCATCTTCAAACAAGTTGATGCTCACTTTTCGAGAACCTGGTTTTGAGTGCCATCTTAACTTATAGATGTGTTGTCTGGAGTGGCCTGGAGCTTCTTCTTTGCTCGCATCTAATCTAAGAAATTTGCCAGTAAATCAACTGACTAATGTAAGAGACAAAAAGGAGGTAGAGAAGGGCGAGTGCAGTAGTCAGTTAAGAAAGGGTGAAATCTCAGCTTGTTATGGACAGAGTTTGACATTAGTCTTGTTACTACACTAAGAATTTCATGGCCATGCAATCATGTCACCCAGGGTAAACCTTGATGTAAATATGTTTTCCACCTAATGAAACTAAAGATGATGGAAAAGTGAGAAAATAAAATGTTCTATACTATTCAATAAAAGGTTTAATCAACACATTCATATGCAGAAAAAAAATCTTATCCTATAATAAACTTACTAATTGTAATTTATAACATGAGAGTGAACACAAGACTAAATCCAGTTTCAAAGAGGTTATCAAAAACCATGTAGCTAATACAAAAAGCAATGACAAATTTCCAGCATTTCTACAGGAGGTTTCTTCTTATCTAACAATCTGAGGGAGCGACATCTCCCCTCGGCCACCTGTCTTTGTTGACAGGCCTGACTTCTTCTATCTACCATGGAGGAGTCATTCTTCTCTGCATCCCCAATTACTACATTCTTTTCAAATTCCGACAGTTCTCTTGGGAAAGCTAGCTCTGGCTGGTCAGCCTCTTGCTCTGTGCCTGACCAAACATCCACAGTTGGCCTGACAGTCTCAGAATTCTCAGCCCCATCCTGAACAACACCACCCTCCTGCCCCAAATCCCCATTTTCAGACCCCTGTGGGTCTGCAGAAGCTTGATCACTGTTCTGTGAAATCTCATGCAATGAAACAACTGGGAGTTGTAGTTCAACAACACTCAGAGAGCTCTCTGTACCAAACTGGTGATGGAAATAGTAAACTTGCCACACATACCCAACATGCCAAACTTTTAATACTGGTAGGGTTTGCGGGAGGCGGGACTGACCCACATGACAGTAATTGTAGTTCTCTCTGCATCCAAAGAACCCTGTGATCCCTACCAATGATGGATCTGAACCAAACTGGGCACACAGACCCAATGTTGCCAACTGTGAATAAAAACAAGGTTTGGGGGTAACTGACCTTGGTATATGGGAGTTGTAGTTTTCCTGCATCCAAAGAGCACTGAACCCAGCAGACAGATCTGGACCAAACTTGGCACACAGACCCAACATGGCCAACTGTGAATACTACTGAGATTTGGGGAGGATTGACCCACGATTTTGGGAGTTGTAGTTTACCCACATCCTTATATATTTTCTAATGGAAGCATTAATAAAAAAAACAAAAGGAAAGACTGACGTTTTCTAATAAATAGTGTTAAAATTACTTAAGCTGCTTCTCCTCACATGGATGCTTTTCCCCCTGCCTTGAAGGGACTCACTGGTGCAAGCCTCCCTCCAGTCTCATGTACTCTCCCTCACCCACACATGAACACCATGCTGTCATGCACCAAGCATGCCTGCTCTTCCCTCAGTGTTTGGAGTCTCATAAACAGCCCTCCCCTTGGCTGAGAGGTCAGGTGAGAGGCCCACCAATCACTGGGAGGAGGGCTTTTGGTGGGAGGATTTGCCATCTGTTTCCAAAAAGGAAGAGAAGGACAGGTGGAGTGATCTTCAGTCTTCTCTGCCAAAGGGATTCCTAAGATCATCAGAAATATGTGTTTTCTGATGGTCTTTTGGCAACCCCTCTGAAACCCCCCTCCTAACACCCCAGGGGTACCGACGGATTGCTGGAGGGCCTAGAATGCTCTTTCTGATTGCCGCTGAAGTTTGGTCAATGCAGTGGTTGTGATGGAACTGTGGGAGAAGTTTGGAGTTGCTGGCAATAGGATGGTTGGATGATCCTTCTGTAGTGAGGTTGGTGCCACTTGGTTCTCTGGTGTTGCTGCTGTTGGGACTGCATGCCACACTTCACTGCTAGTATCTCAAAGTCTTGATTAGACTCAGCTTGTCATCCATGCCAGAACTGAAGAGGCCTAAGGCATTGAATGGGAGGTTCTCGATGACCTGTCTGGAAGCCGTGGAGAGGCTTGATGAGTGGAGCCATGCATGTCAACAGATAGTGATAGCATAAACAGTCATCTTTCCCATTGTATATGCTGTATGTTTTGCCATCTGGATCAGATGATGTGTGAGAGATGTAGCTTCCTGCTGCATAGTCAAGAGAACTGCTTGGCCTTCTTCTGACAGCTTTGCATGGAACACTTGTGCCTTTTCCCATAGAAACTCCTGGTCGGCACCCATGCAGGCTCCATAGTTGGAAATTCTGGTGAGAAGGGAAGCTCCTGCATATACCTTGTGTCCCATAGAGTCAAATCTTTTTCCATCTCTTGTCTGATGGCTTTGTTCTCTGTTTTCCCAGTGATTGTGATGCCTTTACCATAATGGAGTTGGGGTCAGGATGGTGCTTTAGCCGGTCCTGGCCCTCATCACTGGTGAGAGACCATGCCTCTATCTTCTTTGATGGCAGTGGTATCAAGGAAGGGTTAGTCCAAGAAGCCTGGATAACCTCCATCAAGTAGAGGTGGCAGGAAAGTTGTGGTGGTGCCTGTGCTTGTACCCTTTTGAAGATTGGGTCTATGACAGCCTTTGAAGTGTGTTTAATTTCAAGTCTTAGGGCATCCACCATTCTGACCATCTGCTCAGAGCAGGCTCTAACATTGCCTGTTGGAGATTGTGGGTCAATTAGAAAGGCATCCAGGTTCAGGGATGAATCAAGTTTCAAGGATAGCATCAAGTCTGAACTGACAGATTCGATTTCTTCTATATCAGGATCATCCACCTCCGATCTTCTAGGTTGTCCCTGAGGGAGCGAAAGGGGTGGTGGGACCCTTTTTGTCAGCAGTGGGTCTGGGTGAGGCTGGGCACCCCATAGGGTTTTGACAGCCAATCCAGCCATCGCTCTGGACAAACGAGTAGTTTGATGCCCCTTATCTGGGGATTCCTCCAGTGGGGGAAAGAGTTGTTGACATGCCATAGTTGGAGGAGCCAGTGCCAATTGGGTCTGCATCAGTACCTGAATCATTGTGTGGGTGGATCGAGGTGGAGAGTCTTGGGCTTCTCCATCTGAGACAAGGTCTCCCAAAGGGATTGCAATGAGGATGGGAGTGGCTGCACCGGCTGTATCAGAGAGGATCGAGGAAACAATGTCTACGATGAATTGGGTTGGACTTGTTTGGAAGAGGCTGGAGAGGGAGTCTGTTGGACTTTCCTCTTCTTTGCAGCCTTTAACCTCTGCATTGAGGTGAGCCTTGAGGGACACCCTGGCATGGGTGGGACTGGGTGCTGAGAGGACTGGCCTCTGGCCTCCATCTGCACTATCCTGACTTCCTTGTGCACCCTTTTGAAGGCAATTTTCATAAAGGAAGTAGATGGTGGTGTGGCGGTGACTGAGTGTGATGATCGTGCCAACCCCATCAAGCTCTATGTTGAAGGAGGCCATGCAGGTGGCTTTTGGGGCCTTTGAAACTCTGGACATCTTCAAAGCATTTGAATTTGTCAAGGGCTTTGACGAGTCCTTTTGGCAGTCCCAAAGTCCAGTGTGCTGTTGCCATGCACAGAACCAAAGCCTGCTGATAGAGTACTGCTTTGAGGCAGAAAGCTCTATTTTTCCTTGACTGAACCATGAAGGCTTGGCAGGGGGGGCACAAGATCACAACATGGCTCTCCCGTAGGCAGAGGAGGCACTTCGCATGGCTGTTAGAGTCTGGTATCTTCGACACACACTAAATGCATCTCATGAATCTCATAGTAGACATTGTAAAACAAAGTTCAGAGCAGCTGCTCCAGTGACAGGGGAAAAAAGAATTGGGGAGTGCGAGGCCAGGGTACCGCACTCCCTGGGGAGGAGTGGGCAGGGTTACCGCTAAAATTTGAAAATATACAGCTTGGGACGCTTCTGTTAGAGCCTGCCTGCACAGGCATATACTCCAAAAAATATGCGTTCAAAGAAACCACGAAGAAGATAGATATCAGCCACAAGAAAATTGACGTCAGGTGACAGGATATTCTTGCATATTCTCACCAAAATACATGCAATGAAATTGGATACTTAAGTTACCCTCAGTTCAATGCAGATTACTCAAATCATAGAATCATAGAATCATAGAATCATAGAATCATAGAATCAAAGAGTTGGAAGAGACCTCATGGGCCATCCAGTCCAACCCCCTGCCAAGAAGCAGGAATATTGCATTCAAATCACCCCTGACAGATGGCCATCCAGCCTCTGTTTCAAAGCTTCCAAAGAAGGAGCCTCCACCACACTCCGGGGCAGAGAGTTCCACTGCTGAACGGCTCTCACAGTCAGGAAGTTCTTCCTCATGTTCAGATGGAATCTCCTCTCTTGTAGTTTGAAGCCATTGTTCCGCGCCCTAGTCTCCAGGGAAGCAGAAAACAAGCTTGCTCCCTCCTCCCTGTGGCTTCCTCTCACATATTTATACATGGCTATCATATCCCCTCTCAGCCTTCTCTTCTTCAGGCTAAACATGCCCAGCTCCTTTAGCCGCTCCTCATAGGGCTTGTTCTCCAGACCTTTTATCATTTTAGTCGCTCTCCTCTGGACACATTCCAGCTTGTCAATATCTCTCTTGAATTGTGGTGCCCAGAATTGGACACAATATTCCAGATGTGGTCGAACCAAAGCAGAATAGAGGGGTAGCATTACTTCCCTAGATCTAGACACTATGCTCCTATTGATGCAGGCCAAAATCCCATTGGCTTTTTTTGCCGCCACATCACATTGTTGGCTCATGTTTAACTTGTTGTCCATGAGGACTCCAAGATCTTTTTCACACGTACTGCTCTCGAGCCAGGCATCCCCCATTCTTTGCATTTTGTTTTTCCTGCCAAAGTGGAGTATCTTGCATTTGTTCTTTTATATTTCTTTTATATTTCAATTTGTTCTTTTATATTTCTCTTTAATTGATGCCATTTTTGGAAGCTTGTTTAGACCGAGTTAATTGACTTTTAGACTTTCTCCGCATGGAAGGAGTTTACTTTTTGAATAATAAGATTTATTTGTCACGGGCCCGGGAAGGGGGAGTGCATCAGTTGGGAACTAATGGCCTAAAAGCACTAGAATCTGTCTAAGTTTGAAACTAAGCAAGATTGGCCCTGGTTAGTCACTCAATGGGAGCCTGCCAATGAATGCCAGGTGCTATAGGTTGTATTTCAAGGAAGGAACTGGAAAAAACACATCTGAGTGTTCCTTACCTAAGAAACCCCTATGAAATGTATGGGGTCACCATACATCAACAGCATAATTTGTGATTGTAATGTTAACCTTGGGATACAAGGAGTGAGGG